TTTTCTTGTCTTTTTAGTGATCTCTTGCTTTCTTCATGGATAATGTTCTTGATATCTTCCCACAATTCATCTGGCTTTCGGTCACCTTTTTTCTCTTTCTGAAAATACTGTAGTTAAGGGTGACTAGCTTGGAAATAGATGGCTTGATTAAAGTATGAGAGGCAAAATTAAATGAAATTAAAGTCTGATAAGATGAGGGAGAATTTGGCAAGTCTTCAGAATAGAGATGGCATTTCTGAGATTTCTAGGAGTTTATAAATAATGACTTTCAGTTACGACCTCATTCCTTCTGTCAGTGTAATGTACTTTAAAAAGAAATAGTGCAAGACCAGAAAAAGCATTTAAGATACTTAAGAATCAGTGGTAGTCTTTCTGTCTGGCAGACCAGTAAAGGTTGGGTTTGAGAATAGTATGACCTTCTTACTGCCCTTTGCCATAGAGTCAATTCTGACTCATAGTGACCGTATGGCCCTATAGGACAGAGTAGAATTGCCCCATAGGGTTTCCAAGGCTGTAATTTAAAAAAAAATTTTTTTAAAAAAATTTTACAGTGTTTCCTTCCTTCCCCTCCCACCCAAGTCTACAAATTTTTAAGGAAGCACACTGCCTTATTTCTCCCAAGAACAGCTGGTGGGTTTGGACCACTGACCTTTTGGTTAGCAGCCAAACACTTTAGACACTGTGCCACCACAGCTCCTAAAAACCCCAGGTGTATCCTTATCTTTATAATAGGTGGATATTGTTGTAGGACTATGAGAAAATCATGTAATTGATAGAAACCCTGGGAGATAAACATCTCTGAATATGGGTAATGATTGCCTTTGCAGGCTAGCTCTGTCCATTCTCCTAAAAACAAGCAGCTCCTTATGAGTAGCAGATAGCTGTGGTGATGTGAAGCCCTGAAGCAAAAGAGAAAGAACAGCTTCTCAAGGTCAAAAACTTTTTATGGTTCTGTCATCTCAGCAGGTTTCTGTTCTTACTTTATTACTCTAAGCTTCAGGAAGTTAAGGCTACAGAGAAATTGTCCCAGGAGCGGAAAGTAAATCCTAAACTCACCTGTTTCAGATCAGAGTGGACATGTTGTTTAGAAACCAAAACCAAACCCACTGCCATTGAGTCAATTCTGACTCATAGCAACCCCCTTTGGGTTTCCAAAGTGGTAAATCTTTATGGAAGTAGCTTGCCCAGTAGATTGCCCAGTCTTCCTTCCGCGGAGTAGCTGGTGGGTTTGAGCCACCAACCTTCTGGTTACCAGTCAAGTGCCTTAGGCACTACCCTACCAGAGCTCCTTAGTTGCTGTCAAATTGATTCCTACTCCTGGTGATCCCATGTGTATGGAGTAGAACTGCTCCATAGGGTTTTTGGTAGCCGATTGCTAGGCCTGTCTTCTGAGGTGCTGCAGGATGGGTTTGAACTGCCACCCTTTTGGCTATTAAAAAACAAAATCCATTGCCTTGAGACGATTCTGAGTCCTAGCCATGCCCATAGGGTTTCCTAAGCTGTAAATCTTTTTTTTTTTTTCTAATTTTTATTGTGATCTGGATGAAAGTTTATAGAGCAAATTCATTTTCCATGCAGCAGCAGTTCATACACATTTTGTTTCATGACATTGACTGCAGTTTCCCGCAATTTAACAGCTTTCTTCCCACTTTCTCCCTGTATCCTGTGTCCTCTTCCCTGTGTCCTTCCCTCACATGCACTCCTGCCCCCAAGCTGTCTCCCTGTGCAAATACTGCCCTTCTGTTGTCTCATGATTGATCACTTCATGTATCGACCTGATGTAAATGTTCACCCCATATGCCTGTCTGTTGTTTCACTGGAAGCCACAGAAGTGAGCTCAGTTCCAGACCTGAAGGGTAACTAGAGGCCGTACGTAGTCTCAGGGGTCTAACCAGGCTCTCTCAGTAAACCTGGTCTCTTTTTTTTTTTTTTTTTTTTATGATTTTGAGTTTTGTTCCATATTGTTCTCCCACTCTATCCAGGTTCTCCTGCACCGACCACCCTCTAAGTCATTGACAGTGGTAGCTGGGCATCATCTAGTTCTTCTGGTTTCATGGTCATATAGGCTGAGGATCACATGGTCTACTAGTCCATTGGACTGTTTCCGTCACTCTTTGGTTTTCTTCATTCTTGTTTGCTCTGGACAAGGAGAGACCCAACCTTGCATCTAGATGGCCGCTTGCAAGCTTTTAAGACCCTAGTCACCAAAGTAGGATGTAGAACAATGTTTATCTGTAGTATGGTATGCCAGTTGAACTTGCTGTCCCCTACGACCATGGTCCCAAGCCCACAGGTCCAGCTACTCACTCCCTCAGGGTAGCTGGCTATGGCCAAGAAGTTACCATAACCTTGTCCCTTGTCAGCTCTACTATATACCCAGACATTCTTACAGCACATACAAATACACTTGTAGAAACATCATCTGCCAACACTATACTTGGTCATAGGCACCCTCCCTGCTAAGTCTGTAAATCCTTATGGAAACAGACTGCCTTGTCTTTCTTCCACAGAGAAGCTGGTGAGTTCCAACCACCAACCTTTTGGTTAGCAGCCTAACCATTTTTGTCACCCAGGAACTCCTAGAAGTCAGAAAATTAAAGTCTCTGGCAGAATTAATCAATCAACAAGTGTTTATTAGGCAGCAGATAGATGCTTTATACTGTAATGAGGTCTGTAGGTATGGCACTAAGAACCAAAAACTCAAACTCACTGCCATCGAGTTGATTCCAACTCATAGCAACCCCTGTTTGGTTCCCAAGACTGTAAATCTTTACAGAAGGAGACAGCCCAGTTTTTCTTCCTCAGAGCAGCTGAGGGGTTTGAACTACCGACCTTTTGGTTAGCAGCCAAATGCCTTAACCACTACACACACACATACACATACACACACAAACCAAACTCACTGCCATGTAGTTGATTCCAACTCATAGTGACCCACCCCCTTTAGGTTTCCAAGGTGGTAAATCTTGATGGAAGTAGATCGTCTTCTTCTTTCCACAGAGTGCTGGTGGGTTTGAACTACTAGCCTTCTGGTTAGCAGTGAAATGCCTTAGACACTATGCCACCAGAGCTCCTTCAGCACTAAGAAAAGTTCCCAATATGATCTTTTCCCCTTAGGTGGGCGTGGGTAGGGGCATCAAACCTCTTGCCATAGAGTCCTTTCTGACTCATGGTGACCCCATGTCTAACAGATAAGAAGTGAACTCTATAGGGTTTTCTTGGATGTATCTTCATGGAAGCAGACCACCAAGCTTTTCTTTCATGGAGCCACTGCATGGGTAGTAGCCTAATGCAAAATATTTATATCACCCAGGGACATGTTTCTCCTTAAAGACCTCACTATTTATTTGGCATATTAGTTTCTTGGGGTTCTCTGACTTCAAGGTCCTTTCTTCCTTTCCCCCTTCCTATCTCTTCCCTCTCTCCCTCCATCTTTTTCTTTCTTCTTCCTCACTCCACAGAAGTGCTACTGCAAGGTTATGTGGAACATGCATGTTAGGTTTCTCTGGACACTGCCCACTTGCTCTTTTCCTCTTGCTCTTGGCTCTCATCATTACGAGCTATCTAACCTAAGATACATTGGTTGAGACATGATTGCCTTTTTAGCTGAGCCCTTGTCTCTCTCCCCAGGCCTGGGCTCTATGCCCCTCATTGAAATAAAAAGCTATGAGGATGGTGGCATCCGGCTAGAATGCACATCTGTCGGGTGGTTCCCACAGCCCCATGCAGTGTGGAGGGACCCCATTGGTGAGATGCCCACCCTGGAGGAGGCTTACACCATTGAAGATGATGGCCTCTTCACAGTCACCATATCTGTGATCATTAGAAACTACTCTGTGAGGAACGTTTCCTGCTCTGTCACCAATACCCTGCTGGGCCAGGAGAAGGAAACTGTGATGTTTATTCCAGGTTAGTTCTCTGCTTTCTCAAAAGTCATCATGTGGAGCCAGGAATTTCAGTAAATAGATTAGAGCCCTGAGTGGGGATGAAGGAGTGAGAATAGGGGGTACAGCTGAACTGATGGCTCACCCTTTGTCACAAGGGGGAAACAGACAATCTCAAAACACATGAGGGTAAATCTAATCATTGTTTACCTTCTATAGTCCTTGTCCTGCAGAAATTTTCAAGCATTAAGAACAATCATAAAATGTGGAGAGTGGTTTGGGTGAGTGGCTAGCTGCTGGATCCTTTGACCTTCGGTGCTGCGTGCTGACACAGTGTCTTCCTGCCCATGGGATTTCCCAAAGGACACAGCTAGGAAAATTCCCTATCAACTGACATTCATAAATTCAATCAACAAATATTTAATAAGTATGTCCTATGTTCAAGGAACTATTCTAGAAATAGCTAAATCAGAGAACAAAATATATGAAGATTCCTGCCCTCATAGAGCTCATATTGTAGAGGGGACAGAAAGCAATAAGTGAATAATTAATCAATATGGATACTCTATCAGATGGATGAGTGTTGTAGAAAAAAATAAAGCAGAGGCAAGGGTAAGGAGTGTCAGGGCATTGGGGCATTGTAATTATAAATGGGGTGGTCAGAGGAAGCTTCACTGAAAAGACAACATTTGAGCAAAAACCAGAATGAAGTGAGGTAGTGAACCAAGCAGATATTTGAGGATTGAGCAACCTAGGTAGAGCATACAACATCTGCAAGGGGTCTGAGTCAGGAATGTGTCTGGCAGCTTCAAGGAACCCCAAGAGGCTGGTGTGGCTTGAATAGAATAAGTGGAAGGTGATGGTGGCTTTTACCAGAGTGGTGGCCATGGGATTCACTGTGGCTGGTTAGCTTTTATTCACTGTGGTCTTTCCAATGGTGACTCCAGGTGTTTCTGCTTTCCTACCTCCTGGGCCCCACCCTGCACAATTCTTGTGGGGTCTGCCAGTGCAGAGCAAGAGTCTTTATCTACCTGGGCTTTCTGATGGAGAAGCTGACAGAGCAGGGACTTGAGGGAAAGCTTCAGATGTGTGCCCTGGGGGATGCTTCCACGTTGGGCCTCTTGTTTCTCATTGAAAGGACTTTATGTGATACCTTTCAGCACCCATAATTCCCAGCAACTCTCACTGGATGGTGGTCCTGGCTTCCACCCTGCCTACTTTGATCCTTCTCATCCTCATCTCTGGGGGCATCTGTCTCATCAAGAAACTCCACAGGGAAAAAGAGGTTCTGTCAGTGGAAAAAGTGGATGATGAACAGGAAATGAAAGAAATGATAGGTAAGGAGTGTGTGTGGGGGGAAAGGTATGGATAAAGAGAGTAGAAGAGTAAGAGGACAGTTCACTGTCATACAAAGGACAAAGCTCTGACAGGGAGAGAGGTAGAGAGAAGAGAAAGGGGAAAGGAGGAGAGAAAGCCATGTGCTTGGAATGCTCATGTCCTCATAATTAATCCCTCAGAGCTTGCTTTCCTCTATTCTGCAAACATTGTGTTCATTTATATGGCTACATACAGCACTATATTGTTGAACAAAAACAAGCCTAAAAAATACAGAGGCTATCCAGCCACCTGACCATATCGCATTTCTGGTTTCCAATTTCTTAGTCATAGGGTTGGGTGGGGGGTCTGTTCATAGAAAGGGCCATTCCTCCATTGTCTAATACAAACTCAAATTCTCTTTGTTGTTCTATTGAGGACATTAATGTGTATTTTTCTTTTGTTTCTTTTTCAGAGCTACTTCAAGAAGAATTACGTAAGTTTAGCATTTCCTGAGCTACTTCATGCACAGCCTATGTTCTGCTTGCTTAGGCTTTATCTTATGACATTCACTTCTCTGTCCCATTGCAGGATGGAGGAGAACCCTCTTACATGCTGGTGAGCGCCTCTGGCATTCCCTCAGATCCTGAGATTTTTCCCCACTAACCAGCCAACAAGACACATTAGAAGAGATGAACAGGGGGCCCAAGTCTGGCTGGGAGGCAGCAGGGGGCTGAGGTTGGTTCACCAGCAGGGCTTTGGGTTGGTTCACCATGGTGTCTCACCCAACACTGGACCTGGCTCTTATGTCAAGGAATTCTAGGAGCTCTTAATCTACCCTACAGCTTACTTCCCATAATCCTTTCCTTTTGGGAATAATTTAACCCATGATTACCAGAGGTCTGCCATATATTATGGACCTCTCTAAGAGTTCCATTGCAGTAGTTGGTGCCCTTTGGCTTTGGGAATAATTTGAAAGAAGATAATACAGTCTTAGCTATTTAGAACCTGGGAGATGTCACATAGAGGGAAGTTACAAGCTTCCCCAAGCCTGTTTCAAGGGTGTACAAAGAGGTAGCCAGAAATGCCACAACGTTCCTAAGAGAACATTGATACTCTAGGTATATAGAGTGAGGAAAGGGGGCTTAGGCAAGGAAAGCACAGAATCCAGAGAGGAAAGATACTGCACTCGTTTCCCACCGCACTTCACATATTATGATTTTTCAATCATAAATTTAAATTTTTTTTTTCTTCTACCTATAAGCACCAAAGAAGCCAGGCTGTACCACATATGATAGCACTTGGGCCTTTCCCCTTTACCTAGATGAATTTCAAAGCAAGCGTAATCAGACATATCAACTCAGGGAAAGAAAAAAATCATTTTAACACAATCGAAACCTAGATTGAATAGGTAGTAATAAATGTAGATGGAAGAGGCCTATGGAACATCAGGGGTCTGCATGTTTCCTAAACTCAGAGGAGTCACAGTTGTAGACCTCAGACTTATGTTATTAAAACTGGATGGAGGAGGAGGCGGGGCAAGATGGCGGATTAGGCAGAAGGATTGCACAGACCCTCTTCAACAAAGAAAAGGGAAACCAATTAACACAGACACAGA